CGACCCCTCCCTTCAGATCTTGATGAGCATTAAGATCCCATCTCAGTCTTCTCTTCAGCCACAGGCACGGGCCTGGCTATGGCTCTGGGCCCCAAGGACGGCAGCTGTGGCAGAAGAGGACCCTCTGCCCAGCCCTGGCCCCAGCAGCACAGCGGCAGGGGGCCCAGCACGTACGTGGTGCTTCACGCCCTCCTCCACGGACTCGATGTTGCACTGCATCAGCACCACCTGCAAGCCAAGCAGAGAGCCCGTGAGCGCCCGCAGGGCCGGGCCTGGCTATGGCTCTGGGCCCCAAGGACGGCAGCTGTGGCAGAAGAGGACCCTCTGCCCAGCCCTGGCCCCAGCAGCACAGCGGCAGGGGGCCCAGCACGTACGTGGTGCTTCACGCCCTCCTCCACGGACTCGATGTTGCACTGCATCAGCACCACCTGCAAGCCAAGCAGAGAGCCCGTGAGCGCCCGCAGGGCTGCCCGGGGAGGGGCAGGGGCTCCCGGCCCTCACCTTGCGGGTCTCCACCTCGGCGGGCTCCGGGGTCGGGGTCTTCACGGAGGGCGGGGCGATGGGAGACTTCACCACCACCTGCTGGGGCTGCTGGGGACGGGGCATCCCGAAAGCGGTGAGCGGGTAGATGCCGTTCCTGGAGACGGGGGCAGCCTCTGAGCTTATTCCTCTCCACGACCTCTCCAGCCTCACACACAGTCAAGTTGCCCCTTTAAGCCTCTCTTACCTTACATCCTCCAGGAACTTGTCCAGCTCCAGTGCTGGAGATTGTGAGAAGCTGGAGAAAAAGAAGTACCAACATGAGAAGCCATTTAATAGAAGCATCCACTGGACTCTTTGGATGCAATTTCAAATCCCCACATCCCAGACTAGGGCTGTGTCGGTGGCAGGGTGGGCATGGACAGAGGTGAGACAGACTCCAACCTAGTACTCAGGAAGGAGCTGTTCACAGAAGCTGGGGATGAGCAAGGTGTTTTAATTGCAGCAGAACAGGTATCACCACCCTGTACAGAGTTGTCCAATGCAAGTGACTGCTTGGAGGCCAGCCCAGGGACACCGTGTTCCTGCCAGGGTTTTCAGAGAGCTGTGAAGGCTGTGCCCCATCTCCTCACCAGCACTGCAAAGAACTCTGCAGCAGCTGAGAGCACTGTGACCAGATGCATCACTCCAGACCAGGAACTAGAAACTGCACCTTGGGATCTAACGTCCTGCCCAAATATTTCTCACTAGAGCTTGGGATACTTTTATTCTCTGTGATTTCTTTCCCAAGCTGCTAATTCAGCTTGGTGGCTTCTGAATGTTGTGCCCCAGAAGAAATCTTCCTACCAATTCATTTCGAATTTACCACCCACTAACTCCACTGAATGTCATGCTTGCTGGTGGAGGATGGTAAGCACCAGGAGCCCCTCTCCTCTGTGCCACAGTGTCCCCCCTATCCTGCACCCACTGCTCTTCCTCGCCCTCAAGCACAGAGGGTTCCTCCAGGCAGTGACAGTGATTCCCAGCAGCCCTCACCCACACTGTCACCTCACAGCCCTCTCAGACAGGGCAGCAGATGCTCTCGCTCTAGAGTGAGCTACTGTCACCTCTGCTGTGGCACAGGGAGTCTGCAACACCAGCACCACCCACAGCCAGTGCCTCACTTCTTCTGGGTTTATAATTCCTCAGTAAAACACTTTCCTCAATTCAGCTTCTCACTTGAGCACAGCTTCCTCCCAGCTGGTTCCAGCACAGCTTGGAGCAGTGCATCCTCCCCACCCTGCTGCCCTACAGGGCTCTGCAGAATTCCAGAGGCTGGCCAGAGACTGTGAGCTGCTCAAATTCTGCCATGACACCCCCTCCCAGTGCTTTGCTGGTCCACCAGTGCTGCTGTTGGCTGTACATCTGCCTTGACTTCCTGACCACCCCCAGCCCTTCCTGGCACACGTCTGTGATGTCCTACCCTAGAGTGCAGCAGCAGTTCTCAGCAAGTATCTGTATTTTTTTCTAGCAGCTCGACTTGGTGACACTCTGAGGAACCACTGGAGCTGTTGCTCCCTGATGTTCCCAGCCAGCACTACACTCTCTTGTCTCTTCTCCAGCACCTCTGATGTGCTGCCCCACCAAAAAGCAGGTCCCAGGCTGGCAGGTGCAGCACTGTGTGTGCAGGGTGCCCCTCTGGCACAGCTTGGGCTGTTTCTCTTCATCTTCTGGTCTGTTTGAACCCTGAATTCATGAGAACCACTCCCAAGGGAACTCTGTACCTTCACCCACTAGTGCTATGAAGATCAGAACGTCAGGTTTTAGGAAGGTTCACATGGCTCCAATAAATGGTGCTTTTCTCCTTTGTCATCCTGATTGCTTTTGTTGCATAGCCTGACACTGGGCCACCCTAGCAGCCCCCTTCTTCCCTGGAAATACAGAATCCCACAGTCCCAGCCTGGTGGGGGTTGGAAGGGACCTCTGGAGATCATCTTGTCCCAGCCACTGCTCCAGCAGCTCACCCACAGCAGGGTGCCAAGGATGGCCTCCACACAG